TGACTTTGCATCAGTTCAAAGAAGTTTTCCCTGGTTTAACTGAAACTATCCCTTTGATCATTTCTTACAGCATAACAGTATTTCATTATATTCACATATCGTAATTTGTTTAGCTATCCCCCATTTGATGGGCACCCTCTTAGTTTTTTGCTCTTGCCAGCACAAAATGAGTTGCTCTAAATATTTTTGCATACATTGGTCCTTTCCCTCTTTCTATTTAACCCTTTGGAATATAAGGCTAGCAGTGGCAATTTAGGGTCAAAATATATTTCAGCTTAATAATTGGAGTAGAGGATTTTCCAAATTGCTTTCTAGAATTAATGGAGCAATTCACAGTTCTACTGACAGGGCATAAATGTGCTAGTTTACCCAGAAACTTGCCAACATTTGTCATTTTGATTTTTTTTTGCCAACTTAAGGAATGTGAAGTGAAACATTAGAGATGTTATCCCTGAAATGAGAACTTCTGACTTTTCCACCCAGTCCTGCATGAAAATTGAGGCTCAGTTCCCAATGAGTCCTAATGATTTGGGAATGACGGCTGGGTCCTGGAAGTAAAGGATGGTCTTCGTTTCATCAGCTCCTCAGTTGCTTTGGAGATATGCAAGATGCTGGTAGCAAACCTACTATCTCTAACACTGAGTGCTAATCTTAGCTAATACCCTAAAGCTGCCACTTCAACAGACTCCCTGATGGTCAAACTCACTCAATGCAAGCATTTATTCCTTATAGCCTTTGACACTGCCAATCATCCTCTTCTCCTTGACGCTCTCTTTTCTCTCTAACTTTTAGGGACATTCATCTCTTCTGGTTCTCCTCCTACCTATCTGGCTTATTTTCTCAGTCTCCTTTGCTGGATCTTCTTCCAGGTCACAGCTGGCCTGCTAACTGTGGTGTCCCTTACAGCTGTGCTTTTCCCTCCAACCCCACTAGATGGCCACTAGACTGGAACTTTAGAAGCTTTTGCTCTCAACTGGGCTTGAGGAATTGAATTGGAGCTGACCTTTCTTTTTCATTTCAGTTGTATTTGTGATAATGTAATTATTATCATAATCATATCATAACACTATTATAACTTAATAAAGCACTTCAATTTTTACAAAATTTTCCTCCCAATAACTCTGTGAAATAGGGAATATAATTATTATTATTTCCATTTTTCAGATGAGAAAAATGAGGATGACAGGTTAAATCAGTGTCAGAACTAGGATTCACACCATGTCTCCTAATACCAACACTGTTTCTCTTTTTACTACATCAAATTATTTTTTCCATTATCAGAATTCTTACTGAAGATAAACAATAAATACATACAATATTTTTACTCCTCAATATGAGGTAGCATAAAACAGTAGTTCACAAAACATATACAAATGCAGATTATCCCAAAAGTTTTATTGCAGTTTTAAGCTTTAATAGCTTAAACAATGTGTGTATAAACACAGAGGCTAATACTCATGTTTTTATTTGACTGAGTCATACCACACACATTATTCATAGTGACATTTAAGTATGTATGATTAGATTAGTAGCTTTATGATTAAGGATACATCCATGTATATACATAAGTATATATGAAGATATATGCATTATCATGTATAAAAGGATATATCTATAACTATGTTTATGCCAATGTCTATATTTAAATCTTCAAATTCCAAAACCTGGGTTTATAGGATCATAGATCTAGCTAGAAGGGAACTTAGAGGCCAATGTACCAAAATCTCTCATTTTCTAAGGATGGGGAAACTAAGTCCTAGAGAGGTTAAATGACTTAGGGCCACATGGCTAGTAAGGCAGTATTTAAACTGAGATATTCCTAACTCTATGTCCCATATTCTGTTCAGTCCTTTGGCCTCTCCTTCAATACTTGACATGATGTTGGAAGTGATGAAACATTTAAAGATAGAAATCCAGAAAGAATCCTTGCTTTGTAAAAGGCAAATCATTTAAGGCCTAGGTAAATTTAAAACAGATATGATTGTTGACGTGAATAGAAAAATAGACAGACATTTGTAAGATGTGATATAGCACAAAAATTAGATTTAAGTAGTTTTCAATGATCCAAGACAATTCTAAAGGACTGGTGATGCAAAATGCTATCCACATCCAGAGAAGAAACTATGGAGTCTGAATGCAGATTGAAGCATAGTATTTTCACTTTTTTTTGTTTTTTTGTTTCATGGTTTTTCCTTTCTGTTCTGATTCTTCTTTCACAACATGACTAATGTAGAAATATGTTTAACATAATTGCACATGTATAATCTATATCAGATTGCTTACTGTCTTGGGGAGGGGGAAGAGGAAGAGGAAAAGAAGGGAAAGGAGAAAAATTTGAAACTCAGAATCTTATAAAAATGAATGTTGAAAACTAAAACAAAAAATAGATTTAAGTATTTTTATAGTAGTGTTACCTGTTGTATAGGAAATTGATGGGTCTAAACACCAAGGGATTATTTTTATATGGCACTACCGTGTTTATAATTGGTATAGTGGTATTTGTATCACAATCCCTTGACATCTTAACATCAAGTGCAGCCTAGATCATCAAAACACCATTTTGAATCCATTGGGATTGTGAAAATTGCACACACACAGAGATTAATTATCCAAGAAATTCTCTAAATTCTCTAGGGTTCAATGATCTCATTTCAGGATTAAAAAACAAAAACAAAAATAACAGTGTATAGCAACATAGGCAAACTAGTAATTACTATCTGTCATGGAAGTTCTTTTAAAAATTGTTTTAGATGAAGATGTGGCAATTGTGATTATGGCAACTGACATTATTCATGAAAACTGTCTCAGGTATACTCACTAAGGCCATTTTTGTCAGACCGTATACCATGCTGTCTACACATATCCATGCTTAACTTATAGCTTCCCTTGAAATTCAGCGCTTAGTAGAAACATCAGTTCCTAATATAAATATGGTATTCTCAGTCAAGTTTCCTTGTGAAAAGTTACCGAGGATATGAAGTGTTTCTGATATATGAACTGATTTTCCCTAGGACAGCTAACATCTATCATGAGCCGGTTGGCGAGGAAGCAAAGATCATCTACTACCAATAGTGGAAGGGGACAAGGGAGCATGTTGTGTTGATCTGCTCTGCCTCCCTCCCCTCCAGGACTTTGAAACTGGGATCCTTGAAAGCACTTCTTTTTGAAACTCTTTTGGTGTATAATAGCCTCCCTAGTTCCTGTAAGAACCTGTAAGTATAGAGGCATGTCACAGAAAAGTGTGAAGAGAGCTAAAGCTGGGGGAGCTCAAATGCTTTCAGCTTAATGTTACATTTTACTTTTGCTTTCAATGTAGTAAATGCAATTTAACTTGAACTGCAAATGAATGAATTCCTTTCCAGCCAACAAGATAAAAGATCCAGTTGTGAGGGAAGGGTAGCATTAAGCCAAGTACATTATTTGTTTTAATTTAAAGATTCATCTTTCTAGACAGCATCTCAGAGAGCACTAAGGTGCTATAGAGATGGGGAAATCTGGGAGATGCCTTGAACTATCTGCATCTTTGCTGAGTGAGTGAACTGGGTTCTTATGGCTGGGAAAGCTTTGAGACTTTAGCTAATCCAGTCATATCACCCCAGCTACTAGATGAAATAGAGTCAGTACTTCACAGGACCTGAAAGCTTATCCTACAGATTAGAGAAGGTCTTAGAGTCCTATTTTCTAATAGGCAAAAGAGATAGGATTACAACCCCAAGTAACTTACTCCAAAAAGCTGACCACAAGTTTTTCAACTAAAAAAATGGAAGAGAGGACTTTCAGCTATCTTTTTTTTTTCTTTTTGGTGAGGCAGTCAGGGTTAAGTGACTTGCCCAGGGTCACGCAGCTGGTAAGTGTCAAATGTCTGAGGCTGTATTTGAACTCAGGTCCTCTTGACTCCAAGGCCTGAGTCAGCTATTTTTGATGAAGAGATCGGAGTTGAGAACTTTGAAATGCAAACAGCAGCGTCAAAAGAAATCTAGGAAGATAAAATGTATTTGAGTAATCAGGAAGGGGGAGTATGATGATGCAGAACTAACATTATGATGGGTGGAAAAGAACAAGAGTTCCTTCAGTCTCCAAAGGGTACTGAGGAGTTAAATAAGACTTCATTTCCCACCTACTGAACTCTTCCAGACTCACATCATGCCTTCAGAAATCTCATCATCCTGAAAGATCACAACTATGAAACACAGGTTCTCAGTGCTCCCTGCCCCTGGAGCCTCTCCCTCACTTACTAGCTGTGTGACCCTGGTCAAGTCACTGAAATTTTATTTTCTCTAGTTTCCTCAACTGCAAAATGGAAATGATAATACAACCTACCTACTAGAGCTGTTAGGAATATAACATAATATCTGTGAAATGCTTAACATAGTACCTGACACATGTAAGTTCTGTATAAATAATGTTTGTCATTCATTGTTGTTGGAGAGTGTGGAGAATGGACAATGGAGAATTCCTCCCAGATCCTCCACTTAAGGAAGGACATCCAGGGTAACCATCTCATATCCCATAAACTTTACTTCTCTGGTTTTTCGTCAGTCTTCTACTGGATACCTCCTGTTTCCTCTTCTTTCCCTCTTTTAACTTCTTTGTATGTGTTGACCTCCCCCAGTGGGTTGTGAGCTCCTTGAGAACAGGACAAAGCAAGCTATCGTTTGCCTTTCTTTATATGAGCAGCGCTTAGGGCAAAGTAGGCCCTTAAATGTTTACCGACTGAGTGACTAACAGAGGACTTGGAGTCGATTGGTTATGCTCTGAGAAGCATATGTAAAAAATAAATACATTAATTCATAAAGGAGGAAAAGGGAGATAGAATGTGCTGTTTTTCATAATTGGTATGTGTTAGAAGAGGGTTACATAAACATGGAGGAAGGAATGAAGGAGGTTGGAACAAATTAGCCAAGAATTCCTTTCAGACAGATTCCACATTTCATGATGAGTCCCAATTCTAGCTACCTCGATTAGAAATATTATCACTTGAAAGCCTTTTGTCACCAAGTGGTTTCATAGTGTAGTGGTTATCACGTCTGCTTTACACGCAGAAGGTCCTGAGTTCGATCCTCAGTGAAACCATGTGAGAGGTTCCTTTTTCCAAGAATTGCCATAACCTTCGATAAAACTGAAAAGAGGGCTTTCTGCAGTGAACAAGTGGGAGTAAAACCCCCCTGAGTTCTTTCCCCCTTCCCCCCTCAAAGGCTGTGGAACGCAGAGGAAGAGGCAAATCAGGCAAAATGCTGCTGATGTAGCCATCAGCCATGAGCTCTATGGACTTCGACAGAGACACCTTTGGGTCTCGTGCATTTCCGAGTCTTATGGCCTCAGAAAGACAACGATCGGGACTACACAAAGCATCTCCTGTCTCCATTTTCTTAAAACCAAAGCGAATCCACAGTAGATATGACGAATTAAAATCTCCCCGGGGTGGAGGTAGGGGCGGTTATCAGGAACGATATTCCCCTCAAAAAGGAGTATTATTAGACCCAGAATACTCCTCCACGTCTGCGAGATTATTAGAAAGAGTAACTGCAACTCACACTGAACAGTTTGAATATGGAAAGACATTTTATATTCACCGTTTTGAGATCCCATTCAGAAGACTGGATAGGAAAAGGCATATTTTTGCTCCCACCTAACAATTCAGAAGCAGAAAGTTTAGGACGAGGAGATGTTTAAAGAATACATACGACATCAATAAGCGGCGCAGGGAAGTCTGGACAGGAATTGTGAATTTAGGAGTTAGAGAATATCCTGGTACTGACAGCTAGAAGCGAAAGGGGAGGGAGAATGCAGTGAAGATTGTCGGCTACAGGAAACTTAAAATGGCCGTCCCTGGGTGGGTTTGAACCACCAACCTTTCGGTTAACAGCCGAACGCGCTAACCGCTTGCGCCACAGAGACCACGTGCGTTTATTTGCTATTTTAGAATATAGCTAGTTGAACATTTAAAAAGCAGTTTTTTTTTTTTTAAAGCTGTCACTGCAAGGTGCCTATTCTTTTCAGGCCCATAGCTTCCAATGAGCCTAAGCTCAAAGCAGAGACCAAAAATGAATCAAAGGCAGTGTTTTCTGATCTGGAACCGAATCTAGTTCCAGAATTCCCAAATCTAGTTACAGAGATGCCTTTGGTTTCACTTTTCTTCCAACGCCTCTCTTTCATTCCCTCCGGCAGCGAAGCTTCCGGAGCGTGGGCACAATCAGATTCAAGGTACTCCCCAGTCACTAGAACGGGCTCATTGCCTGATGGTGGCTGGTTGTAATTTTTCCTGATTTGGAAAAAAAAATGAGATAAAGAGAATTCTTGTAGTTGGCTTCGATTATCCTGGGTTCCCGTGCAGCCAGACTTTTTTTTTTTTTTTGAAGCCGTCTTCGGCTACTTCTTTGGACCCGAGTTTGTCCTAGTACCTAGGCATATCCACCTTGCTATTCTATCAGGAGTCCATGCTGACTAGACATGAGAGAGAAACATTTCTTCCTTCCTTCCTCCCTCCCTTCCTTCCTTCTTTTCTTCCATCCATCCTTTTTTCTTTCCTTCTTTCTTTTTCTTTTTCTCTTTTGACTCCCAAAGGGCTCCATGACACACAAAAAAGGTTAATAACACCTAACGGCATCTTCCAAACCCCAAAACAGAAAATAGAAGGAAGGGAAGCGTGAAGTTTAGCATAAGTTTAGAAACCTGAAAAGGTAATCTATCAATAATCTTCAGAGGAGTCTCTGGGAATTCTGGAACCCAACTGGGACCATGAGACCACTAAAAAGGCTGGGCTCAAGTCCTAGTGAAAAGATACCAGATTGAGAGCTAGGTAACATGGGTTTGAATCTCAGCCCTTACTATCTGTATGATGGAGAGCAAGTCACTTAGCGCAGCTTCAGTTTCTGTAAAAAGGCGACAAACGATAATTACTCTACCTACCTCATAATGTTTTCTAAAAACAACAGCAACTAAAACATGTTCATCAGAAGACTTTTGGGACTTCTCCCTCTAAGTTCCTTTCTGGAGGCTTTCCCGTGGAAATGTCATTCCATGGAGTCAACTATTTCTGCTAACTCCCAAATTGCAATACTGGCCTCATTTTAGACGCACACACGATCAACTGCCTCTATTCCATTTCCAAAGTTATTTTTGTAAGGTTTCTGCTTCAGGCAAACGGTAATCTCAGTGTTACCTTCTTGTGAACTGGGTCCTTGGATAAGGACTGGGGTGGGGGTGGGGAATAGGATTTGAAAGTTCATTGGTACCTTTGGATAGAATAGTTTCAGATAATTGTTGAGATAGGAAGTCGTATTTCAAAGGTTGGTGAAAGAAGTTAGAAATGAAAAAGGGAGGCAAGGAGAGCCTTTTTCTAGGATGTAAAAGAGAGGAGACAGAGGACTGAAGTATGAGGATATAATAGGGTCAAGTGAAAGTTTCTGAAGAATGAGAGGGATCCAGAAATGTTTTTAAGCTGGAAAGGAGTCGGTGAATAAGAGGAGTCTAAAATTTAGAGAATGGTCGAAAAGCCAATAGACTGTAAACACCATAGGGCACAAAACGGGGAGGTTAGAATGGGAAAATTAAGTATGTCAGGTAATTAAATTATCGAGCAAAAGATGAGGCTGGAGAAGAGAAAATGAACTGAAGTGAAAGGGGGGCATCTCTGCGGGCATGACTCCAGCAGAAAGAAAAGAAGATCCAAACTGGGTCTTGAAGCAACAAAATTGAGGCTGCCTCGTCCTAACTGCTGACTCTCTCCGGTAGAGAGCTTTTTACTCTGTGGCTTGGACATAAAACACTGGTCTAGTGAACTGGAGCTTCCTGGAGATATCTGGAGAACGCGGGCGAATTTGTTGAATAGTCAGTCCCTCATGATCCTTGTCTTTTCAAATGAAAAATCGCGAAATAGGCTTCTATCCGCGTAGTTTCAAATCCTGGAGACAATACAAGAACAATGAGCCCAGCAGATTAAGGAAACTGGCTAGCCAGGTAACCACAAACTTACCGTGCTCTCTTTCCCACACAAATCTTTTCGAAATTCTCTTGAAAGAAAAATAATCCAAGGATGTTTAGGATTGGACAATGTTGATCAGATCGCTAGCATTAGACCTAGTGAGTCGTAGGCATTCTCAGTTCTCCAGAAAAACATTTTCCTACAGAATGAAGGCCCCCTACGAATATGGATTGTTTTTCGTTTTTGTCTTTCTATCCCCAGCGCTTAGTTCAAAGTGAAGGTGCCTATTGAATGTTTGCTGAAGTGAACTAAACTGATTTGAAACGAGATTAGTTTGATCTTCCTATTCAGTACTTATAACTGTCACAAATGCCACCTATAACTAAAGAGGATAGACATAGCCGGCAGATGCTGCATTTGTTTCTGTGCCCACAGGTGTGAAAGGAAGGAGACAATTGAGAAATTACCAGGCAGATTCAAGAGGATGATATATAAGAGGATAGCATACTTTTGCTGCTGTTGGCTTTCCCCCTGGACACATTGTAGTGATGACAATGAAGGCTCATTGAAGGCTTCTTTTGGTCAAAAGTTCAGGATCACTGCTCCTATAGTCTCACCTGATAATCCACTGCTTTAACTAGTGGGTCACTAGTTTCTCGAAGAAACTAGAGCCTTCTGAATTTTAGGAAGTTTTGTAAAGAGAAGACAGAATAAGTGGATCACAAATGAATTCGCCACCACAAGGGTCTAAACCATTTCCAAGATGCCTCCGAAAGAAAGGATTCTTCAAACCAACTTCTTGGTGTTAGCAGCTCAAAGATAAGGAACTCCATGCCTGGGAGGCACCTGGCGATAGGATATCACCTGCTAAGTAAAAAGGAACAGATTCATCACAATAATAATTTTGGTATCAGAAAAAAAAAAGGAAGGGAATTCAGTAGTCTTGGAACAATTGGCAGGGTTGGGGAGGAAGAGAGAAACACCGAGAGAGATATAATGAATAACAGATAGACAATGAAGCCTTGGGAGGAGAAAGAGTCTTATTCTATATTTGACTGTGATTTCAACAGAGTTTGAATGAGGAAGTCTATGGAGTGACTGTTTTCCAGAACGTAATTATCCTTTTGATCTCTTTTGTGGCTTTTATGGAGGCTATGCCTTAGAGGTGAATATTCTAAAAGATTTTAACCTCAGCTTCTCCAGACAGGAGCTGGAGGGAAGAAGTTATAGATTAAGTAAAGAGCACAGATCCGTTCAAATCTATTCTTTTATGGCCTAACAAAGTGCCTTTAAATTTAGTTAGGGACAGCGGAATGAAGCTGCACTCATCACAATGCCATCTACCTCATAGAAGCAATACCACCAGCGAGGACTTCGGTAGTTGACTCTTCAGCGAACTTGCTCAGAGAGAGCTCGTTCTTTCTCTTTCCTAAAGTTTTGAGCGTGGAAATCCTGAGCAGTGGCCTAGAGAGAGTCTGCTCCTCAAGTGCAGAAAGAGTAAGCGACTTTCCTGCTTGAGAGGAATAGGAGCTCTAAGGCTTGGAAAAAAAAAACCCCACAACATGACAAAGCAGGGCTCCAACCCAGGACCCCACACTTTCAAAGCAAAGGCTCTAGCATTAACACAAGCTAAACAAACCACCTCACCAGATCTTCCACGTAGCTCTTATTCGTTTTCATTAGGAGGATGGTTTCACTGGCAGACCTCTGATAGTACTGAGATCCAAGGAAACTTCAGGACAGTCGGCCAGATTCAGGGGTAGGATGTCTTTACCTTCCTTTTTCTCACCCTGACTTCTGGATTCCAAGTTACCACTATGTCGAGTAAGGATTCCTCCCTTCAACCAAAAATTGCCACTGAAAACTGGAATCCAAGGAGGCTCTCTTGACACTGTGAGCACCAGGGACTGTTCTTTGGAATTTAATAGAACTAGATGTTGTGTCCAGTCACTTCCCTATTGAGATTAATTTTCTAAAGTTGTCCAGATAGCTCTGATGCCATCTTCTGAAAGAGGCTTTTATTTCCTCTCTAGCTGCTGGAGTCTTCCTTCCAAGGTTATCTTGTAACCACTTTGCATATACTTTTATGTACACATTGTCTTTCCCCATTAGAATGTAAGCTTCTTGAGAGCAAGGACTGGGCCTTTTT